CTGCGCGCCCGCGAGCGCGTTCTCGTCGCAGGTGAATGGGTTTTGTCTCACGCGTGGCCGTCCCGCTGGCGGGATGCGTTTTTCGCGCGCGTTCGCTTGGCCGCTCCGCCGCCTCTTTCTCCCGTCGCAGGTTCCCCCCCCCCCCCCCCTTCCGCGCGCGCGTCGCTTGGCCGCTCCGCCGCCTCTCTCTCCCGTCGCAGGTTCCCCCCCCCCCCCTTCCTCCCGCGCGCGCGTTCGCTTGGCCGCTCCGCCGCCTCTCTCTCCCGTCGCAGGTTCCTCCCCTCGCCCCTCCTCCCGCGCGCGCGTTCGCTTGGCCGCTCCGCCGCCTCTCTCTCCCGTCGCAGGTTCCTCCCCTCGCCCCTCCTCCCGCGCGCGCGTTCGCTTGGCCGCTCCGCCGCCTCTCTCTCCCGTTGCAGGTTCCTCCCCTCCCCTCCTCCCCCACAGGTCCGCGCGTCTACTTCGTGGAGAGCACCTACGTCCCTCGTCGGTTTTGCGGCTCGAAGGTCAGGACACACATGAGTACGGGTCATCCTGGGCCGAATGCCGACCCAGTGCGCAGTATGCCTGCGGATGCCGTATGCCGGCCACTTGTCCCCTGCGCTGTACTGCAAGTGCGCGCCGTATGCTGGTCCCTTGTGCGCAGTATGCCTGCGGATGCCGTACGCCGGCAATCATTCCTCTGTGCAGTATGCCTGCAGTGTGTGCCGTATGCCGGCCATTGTGCGCAGTATGCCTGCGAATGCCGAATGCCGGCCCTGTACGCAGTATGCCTGCGATTGCTGCCTGTCAGCCCCTCTCCGCAGTATGCCTGCGCGCGCGGCTGTATGCCTGCAAGTGGGCGCCGTATGCCGGCCATTAAGCGCAGTATGCCTGCGAGTGCCGTATGCCGGCCCCCCCCCATAGCGCAGTATGCCTGCGTGCGTTGCAGTATGCCTGCAAGTGTGTGCCGTATGCCGGCCCTTGTACGCAGTACGCCTGCGGTTGCCGTATGCCGGCCCAGTGCGCAGTATGCCTGCGGATGCTGCCTGTCAGCCCCGGTGCGCAGTATGCCTGCGGCGTGCGTTTGCCTGCCCTCTTGCGCTGGATGCCTGCGGGTTATGTCATGTGCAACCGCCAGCGCGCGATAAGGACGCCGAGGGGGATACGTGCACGGCGCTTTCCGACGCGCGCGCAGCATCCATGGCGCTGGCTCGCTCAGACATCGTTGAGTTGCTTGGCGATCTGCCTGCTGGCGCATTCGGCACCGACAAAAATGCCATCAGGGCGCGCGCGCGCGTCTCCGTGCGTCTACCGCGGGCATGAGCCCACTCGCAGCGGCGCGCAAGGCCGATTGGGTCCTCTTCGTCGCAGCGGCCAACGCGGCGGAGGGGGGCGCATCGCCAGCTCCCGAGCTGGTGCTGTGCACCACGGTCGCGCGCCTGATGGCCGAAGCGATCGGGGCGGTCCGCCCGATTGATTACTCGGATGCGGCCATGCGCGATATGTTGATTGCGGCCCTGAAGCCAGGCGCGAAGCCGTTTGCGGGCGATTCTTCCGCGGAGTGGCGCGATTTCGCGATTAAGCCGTGCCACATCAATATGGCGCTGCGGACACAGTCGCGAGCGATGGAAGCCTTCGGGCGGAAGGCCCCCGCCCCGTTGGTGCGCGAGGACGCGGGCCGCCGCGCGGCGTGCCGCCAGGAGGGTCAGCAATCGGCCCCGGCGGAGGCGGCCGCCGAGCCCGCGGAGGAGACGACGCGGATTGCGGCGGCAATGGAAGAATACGTGAAGGCCAGCAAGGAATTGCTCGAAGAAAAGCGGGAGAAGCCGCTGGCGTTTGCCATGGAGGCGCGCCGCGTTTTCGCATGCGCGGGCGGCATTGTTCGGGGATGCGCGCCTCGGCAGGACCGTGTGCGCGAGGTCTGGCTCGGCAAGTTCCCCCGTGAGGGATTGCCGACCGAGGAGTCGATGCGCAAATTCGCGGCCGCGGGCCGGACGGCCCAGTCCCATGGCCGCTCATACATTGGGAGCGCCGAGGGCGAGAGCCTGCAGGCTCCCTGCTCGGCGGCACGTGCAATGACAAGCTTCCGTTTCGCCGATTGCTCCGCGCGCAGGACCACTGCAAGCCCCAATGGGCGCGAATGCCGAAGCTGGACTCGGTGCCAGCGGGGGCGGGCTCGTGGCGCGATCGCGCGTCGGCCGTCACCGCGGCGAACCGCGCGGGTGCGGCCCTGGACCGAATGGATTTTCCCGGTTATGCGCGCTTCCAGGTCGCGCGCGACGCAGCGCAGCGCGCGCGCCCACGCGCGCCCCGTGGCGCGAGGCCCACGTAATGGAGTGGGGGTTTCGTTGCATCCTGTCCAAAGTGTTTGATCCCGTCGTGCTTTGGGATGCATGTGCCAGCTCGCGCGCGTGAGCGAGGAGCACGGGGGCGTCAAGGCGCGTCCGCGGAGCGGCGGGCCCGATGCCCAGGGGGCCGCGCGCGGGAGCCCGCGCCGCGTCCAGGTTTCCTACACGTACGATTTGCTTCTCCGCCAGAAAGTGGCGAAAGACCTGGAACACGGCGACGAGGATGCGACGGCCTCGTTCACTGCGTTGTCGTGGGACATTCTGCGCGCCGCCAAGGAGCGCAGCGCTTTTGAGTGGCCGCCGCCCTGGCATCGTGCATCGCGCTGCGCGCTGTAGGAGAGAGTCCAGCAGTCGGACCGCCAGGCGGCGTTCGCCAAGGGCGGGGGCAAGAAAGGCGGCAACGACCGGCGCGACCAGGCGCGAGCCCGCGCGCGCGCGCCCCGCGAGCGCGAGCACGCGTCGCGGCGCGCGAGGCGGCGAAGCCACGGACCCCGGTGAGCCCTGTCCTCCGCCAGCGCTCGCGCAGCCCCCGCCGCGATACCTTCAGCAAGAAGGGGAGCGGAAAGGCCGGCAAGGGAGGGGCTCCCAAGGACGCGGGGAGCTCGTGGCACAAGCCTGAGCGAAAGGAGTCCTGGCGGTGGTGAAGCCAGGGCGCCGGCGCTGTGCATGTTAATTATTCGCCCGCCCGAGGCGCGCTCCGCGCGCGCGCGCGCGCCCCCCCGCGGGGGCGCCGCGCCAGCCAGTGATGCAGACGACGGGGCCTCCCCATTGCACCCTGCCGACAGCGGCGAGGGCGCAGTGTGGCGCGGGCCGTCGCCCGAGGGGCAGGAGGCGCCGCCAGTGCGCCGCGCGCGAGACCGCCCCGCCCGCGGCGAGCGCAGCGCAGGACGCGGATGTTGATTCCGACGACGGCGCCGAAGGCGGGGGCGGCGACCTTTGCCCCCAGCAAATCCACGATGCCGGCTGCGCATTTGAAGAGGCCCTTGCCCGCCACTCTACGGGGGCGGAGCCGCGAAGCGCGCGCGCGCAGATCAAAGCCGCCGTGGATGCGTTGCTCGACGACGAAGACAAGAGGGCGGGCATGAGCCCTCTTTGCCACGCCGCCTGGGCGGCACACTTGCCGCGAGTCCGCGAGATAGCGCCGCTTGCGGGACCTGAGCGCGATGCGGCGGTGGCGGCGAGCCAGACGAGCGACGCACTCTTGCAAGAGAGGCGCGAGGCGGCGTTGCAATTTTGGCGAGAGCGCAAACGTGTGACGGCTTCAGAATGGAAGGCGCCGCCCGGCACGCCGCTACCGCGAAGCACCGGCGGAGAGCGCGGTCGGGCGAGGCACGCTATGCGAAGTTACCATGGCATGTGCGCTCCGTCCTTGGGCCTGACAAGAACTTGTTGCTTTTGGCCGAAATGATGCAAGCTGCAGGGGTGACCAGCGACGCAGCGCGCGCGCGCGACAGCGGGGCGCGGCTCCGTGCTTGAGGCGTCCGACGAGAATTTGACGCGTGACTTGGAGCGGGGCTTCCCGCTAGTGGGGGTCCTGCCGCGCTCGGGCATGAACGCGCCCGTGACCCCCAAGGGGGCCGAATGCCCATCCGAGTTGCGCAGCCGAGCGGACACTTTGAACGCCGCCACCCTCGAGCGCGCGTCTCGGGATCTGGGGGCCGACGCGGAAGTCACCCAGATTTTGCATGATAAAGCATACGAAGAGGCGCGCGCCGCGCAAGCCAGCGGGGACAGTCGCCCATGCTGCGACGTCCGCGAGCGTGCAGGTGGCCGCGGGCCAGGCAGCGTGGGTCCGGTTGTCCGACCTGCCACGCGGGGCGGCGTTAAACCCGCGATTCCCTGTAGACGAGGGATGGCGCTGGAAGTTGGAAGAATGGATACGCAAGGAATGGCGCATTCGCCGCGGCATGCACCGTCCCCTCCCCTGGGCGCCGCGCCGGGAGCCAACGCGTCCAGGTACGCGCGATCGACGATTTCACTGCCACGGGCGTTAATGACTGCGCCGCCGCAGCCGAGAGGTGCAGGCGGGCCCTTTCCCCCCCCCCCCGCCCCTCGCGCGCGCTGTCCGCTCTCCCGTGTCGCCGCGACCGCGCGTAGGGTGGATTCTCTCGATGCTCTGGTCGAGCTGGCGCGGATCGCGGCCGCGGCCGGCACGCCGGTGCTGAGCAAAGAAGATTTCATCGGTGCTTACAAAACGTTGCCCGTGCGAGGCGCCGACCTCCCGTTGGCCCATTCGGTATGGGCCAAGGGAGCCCGCGAGGGCTACTGTCTGCAACTCTTGAGCTGCCCCTTCGGCGCCGTGGGCAGCGGATACGCTTGGGACCGCGTTGGGGCGGCGCTCCAGGCGCGAGGCGCGAGCGCCGCGGCGGCACGGCGAGCGCCCCGCGAGCGCGGCAGGCCATCCT